CTTGAAACATAAAGAAAGGGTCTGGGGATGGAGCTCAGCATGGAGGGAGGCTGAGGCAGGAGGATCTCTGAGTGTGAAGGCCACCCTGGGGTACATAGTGAGTTTAAGGCCAGCCTGAGCTGCACAGGGAGACCCTGTCTCAAGAAACAAACGAACACTCCCAGTGCTGTTTGGATTTACTGAGTTAACATCCAAAAGTCCTTAGAACTCAGCATAGTACTCGACATTTATTATTGTCATTGCTGTTATTGTGCAGACAGCCAGAATCACAGTAACTTGTCCCCCTAGAAAGACCTTGCAAAGCTGGGACCAGCACCACCCCGCCATACACACATTCTTAACCCAAGGTGTTTGTGGGAACTCAGTTAAATGCTTTGGCCGGTAGAATAGAGATTTGTGATTTAAAAATCCACCAAGACGTTGAAAGTAGTGTGAGCTATACATTAAAAATCATCAAGTTATCAGTTCATCTCTTAGAAAGAGTCTTTTGTAACGAACAAATGTGCTGTCGGGAGCCAGGCTGAAGTGACCAGGACGCAGCTTGGCATGATGACCACGTTCTGTGCTGGGAATGCTGGCCGTGGTTGCCAATGTCCTCGCCAGTAGTTATGTCTGGGTGTTTCCGAAAAGTAAGTCTTGGTGTCTAATCTTAGAGACATAAAGAAACAACCTAAAGACTTTCAGAGTCACACCCTGCAGGATCCTAAGTATAAGGCCCAATTCTCTGCCCCTGGGAGATGGCAATCTGGGACTTGGTGGGAGAGCAGCTCTATGATAGGACTTCCGTTAAGTTCCGGGAGAGTGGTTAGGGCAGCGGCGGGGGGGGTGGTGGTGGAGTTCTTAAGGCTCTTATTTGTTTGTTCTTGAGACAGGGCCTCACTACGCAGTCCAAGCTGGGCTTGAACTCATGGCAATCCTCCTGCCTCAGCCTCCTGAGTGCTGGGATTACGGGCGTGCAGCCCCACATGTGGCCTATCCCCAATTTATAGATGGAGAAACGAAGCAGAGAAGGGTTCTGTGACCTTCGGAAGCTTCATGGAGCAGGAGGGAGAGTCGCTGGGGCTCTGGCAGGCTGGGGCTCTGGGCCCTGGGGAAGGCCACCGCGCAAGCAGCCGTGTGACTTGAGCTCCTCCACCTCCCGAGTACAGCCGCAGTGTCTGGGAGCCAGGCGGTGGCCAGCGACAGGGGCTGGGGTGGGCCCCGCCATGTGGTCTGGACTCCGCTTCCGGGCTGAGAGACCGAGGGGGATAGCAACAGGAGGGTGCGGGACCCGGTTTGTTACTGTTCCGGTCCCCCTCCCCGCAAAACTCAAAATGACTCAAGAAGCAGTACTTTTGGCTTTTTTCCCCCAAACCGTGCATGTCATTGTGTGACGTGCTCCAATACTGCTCTATGTGTCACCTAAGCCTGGGTTGTGACCCTACCTACATCTGTCTCCACTGAATGCCTCCGGCTTTGCCTGTGACTCTTGGTGACTGCCTTTGAGAGTTGGCTGCAACCGTTTTGGGCCCGGCCAAGTCACCTACCTTGGGCAGGTTGCCTCTCCTGGGGAGGCTTGTAATGTCCTTCTCAGGACTCCCCCACGGAGTAAGTAAACCGTGAGGTTCGCCGCAGTGCCTGCGATTCAGAGGACTTGACATGCCAGCAGAGATCTATTTCCCGGGTTAACCAAAAGCTGAACGTGGTCTGGCACAGTGGACCCAGGGGAGGAGGGACAGGAGGATGGAAAGGGTCCCTTCGGACTTCACTCAGTAAGGGGACTCCCTCCCCAGGTCTGCTTCGGACCCCTTCTGTCATGGGAGCCGAGGATCTTGCATCTGCAGGTGCAGCTCAGGATGCTTCAAGACATTGCATTGTTTTATTCCTCTTTAACTTTCACAAAATCCAGGGCGATTTCTTCTTCTGTAGTATGGGGGTGACCCTCCCAGGCCAGTTTTTAGTTGACTGTGAGAAGGATGGCATATGGATGTAGTCCCCACCATTTTGGAAAAATTCCATTTTTCCACCATTTCCAGCCAAGGGAGCTGACTTTTTGCGATGTCCTAGCTTCCCTCTCGTGGTATCTTAGAGATGAGAAGCGCTTCTAGCACCAAATATATATCAGTGGCTCATGTGCTGTGAATTATGTAACACTTTGTCTTAGGAGTTTTTAAAAATACCCAGGGCTTTGGAAAAGTCTTACATAAAGGAGGGGAGGGTGGAGGGTGCTTGTGTTCTGGGAAAACTGAAATCGGAAGCTGAGGACTGGTTGCAGTCTGTTGGAAGCAAGATTCATGCCTCTGGCTTCTCTGCCAGAAAACAGCCCAGAGCCTCTCCCTAGCCTCCCAGGTCCTTTGTCCTGAGCCAGACATTCCCTGCACTGTGGCTCAGACACAGGCAGCCGGTGGTCATTTAAACTGTCAGATCTGGAGGCTGAGGTGGAAGGATCCGAGAGTTCAAAGCCAGCCTGGGTGCATAGTTAATTCAAGGCCAGCTTGGACGACATAGGGACGGAGACCCTGCCTCAAAAAAACCCCAAACCAAACCTGTCGGCGGTTTCCTCTGGAATGGCAGCTGGGTGGGATGAGGGTGGGGTGGGGTCGGATCTTAAAACCCTGGGGCTCTCTAGGGAGTAGACATCCTTGGTCTTTTTCTAGGGCTCGAAAATAATTCCCTATTTAAAAAAAATCCCACTCTCATAGCAAGAAACACAACATGAAATAACAACAACAAAAAAGGAAGAAACACATGTACTAGAGGAAAAAACAATTTTTTCCTGTATCGCCAGCATTTTGTCAACGAAAGTATAAAAAACAAAACCAACTCCAAGAACCATTATGCAGAAACCAGCAAGCGAAACAGTAGGAATCTGAAAAGCAAACCAGAACAAACTTTTGAAAAGTCCAGGACAAGAGACATGGAAGCTACTCGCTAATGCAAAGTATCAGCCAGGGGTCATGGCTCACCCTTGTGCTCCCAGTACTCTGGGAGGCTGAGGCAGGAGGATCACACACTCCAGCACAGCCTGGGTAACTTAGTGAGACCCTGTCTCAAGATACAAATGCGTGGAGAGGTAACTCAGTGCGAAGGCATTGGTTTTTAGTACCATAAAAAACAAAAATAAAGTCTTTGTCACTGGGTAAAACCCATGGCCAAACTATGCAGTTTGTAATGTTCTGAGTCACATGAGTGTCCGTTAAGCCAGAAAGCTGCCTGGAAATGATATTGTTGGTGATAGTTCAGAGTTTCCAAACCCCCTAATCTAGCATGATTCATGTAGATTATATTTAATCATAAGGCTTCATCCTTCCTAGTTTTTCCTTGCATTGGTGCATGTTTGGGGTACACAGCATCTCCATTCATCCTGGGGAGTTGGTCTGTGTACATAACGCATCTCAAGGCTTTTTCCCTCTCCTCCCTCCCCTCTCCATCCCCTTCCCATTTAAGATCCATCTACCTACTTCCTATTACCCTTTCTTTAGTCCTGCTCAGTTGCATTTCGAAGCTTCTGGCAATTCTAATGAAACCATGGCTGAAGTTAAGATACAAGCCAAAATATTATTCAAATATATATGAAATAAGGCCAGGCTTGGTGGTGCACCCCTGAGATCCCAGCACTCAGGAGGTTGAGGCAGGAGGATCACTGTGAGTTCAAGGCCAGCCTGGACTACATAATGAGACCCTGTCTCAAAAAACCCAAGAACAAACAAAGCAAAAAGCCCAGCATAAATAAGAGCTTGTAAAATGTTGCCCCAAAACGTTTTATGACATGGATCAAACAAAAAACCAAAACAACCCCCCCAAACCCAATACATCAAAATAGAAATATAGCTAGTTAATTAACTTGTGATATTTCTGTATTTATTAGTGTAATTCCCTACAACTATATTATCCTGCTGCAAATATAGCTGAGTCTTTCCTAGGTGACTTGAAAACTTTAAAGAACATATTAAAAGCCTGAGCACCAGTTTTTAATCTCATTTATCAGGTAAGATGTTATTTTTCATTTGTGAGCTCCCAATTGGCATAAACCATGTAAGGTACTCTATGTACATTTTTAATTTCCTTTACTCATTGTTGTGTCCGAAGCGAAAAATCCAGTGAAAGGGTTTAATGTCAACAGCATCCATGAGTGATCCTGGCTCCCTGATGGTAGTGTGAGGCACTGACACACAGCTATCTGCAGTCATGCTTCTCTTAGTTCTGCCCTGACCCGGAAGAGGGACAACAGCTGAGGAAGGGGAAGCTCTGGTGACCCAGTGGCCTCAGGCTGGTGTCACTGTGCCCTCCCTGTGGGCTCTGGTGCAGTCACCATCTGTGCCAGTTGGCCCCACCAGTGCCCAGGGCTGGTAAATCTGCCTACAAAATCCCAGCAGTGAGCAGTGCAGTTTGTCACCTCAGCCCTGCCCACAGTGGGGAAGCAGTTGTGGACCACGTGGCACCAGACTGGTGTGCTGTGTTCTGGTGACACTTTATGGACTTTGGAATCTAACATGAAATATGACTATTTCATTGATTATTTTTTTCCAAATGGGTTTTGCCCTGTAGTGCAGGTTGCCTTGAACTCATGGTGATCCTCCTGCCTCAGCATCCTCAATGCTTATTTCAATGATTGAATAAAAAAGTCACTACCATTCTTTGCCCTTGGGGGCAAACAAAACAGGGGGAGAGCAGGCTCGGCCTGTGAGGAGCCCCCTCACCACCCCACACTGTTGGGGAGACAGCAGGGTCCCTGGGAGCTCACATTGGCCCCCACCCCTTTGGCACTGGCTTTGTCCTTCCTCCTTCGCTGCTGCCAGGACTGGTGGGATGTTACAAGTGACTGACGTAGAAGAGGAAGGTTCTTTGAGTATTTCCTTACATCCTGTCTGGAAGATCATTTTCAGGTTTATTTTGTCAACATTTAAGAAGTACTTCTGTTGGAGGTTATAAAGCTAGATAGGCCAGTGCATTTTCCAACGGTTTTTAACAATGTTTTAAGGCCTATGACTTAATGAAAAGAACAAAAATGGAACAGACTGTACATTTTTATTTTTTAATAAACCACATGGCAAAAACAACTTTATTTAATAAACATATAGGAAATTACAGTCTGAAAATTGCAAATACAGAACATATACATACACTTTGATCTTACACAAACAAACCCAGTGTCAAAATCTCTCTAAGATCAATCAATCATGTGCAAAATACCTGGTTCTGGAGAGGATGCGGGAATATAGACAGTTTCTTAAACTTGATATGGCTTATTTAATAACACATTCAGGGCTGGGGATGTAGCTCAGTGGTTCTGCTGCCTGCCTCGAAAGTACAAGGTCCTGAGTTCGATCCCCCGAACCAAAAAAACCAAAACCTTAACACATTCATTCAGAGACGCATACACTTTCCAAACGCACAGTATCTTCCAGGCTTAAACTGACACACCGGTGCATTTCTACTGAGTTGCATTCACTTCAGAGTATTTTCAGTTGCACTACTGAAATCCACTCCACCCTAGGTTGCAGAAGTCTCCACAATGCTTTAACAAAGTCCAGTTTGCCGGGTCTCCCATGTGACAACCTCAATGGCCAGCCCGGGTGCACCGAGTGATGTTTATACCAAGGAGGCCACAGCGATTCGGATTCACACTCACCTGCTACTACCACAGGCAGCCTCCGTGCCCGAAACCCATGAGACAGAGCTGAAGCCTGGATGGCAGGCCTCAGGCTTCGGGTTTCCCTCGGTGCTTGGCTCCAGGCCCAGCAAGCTTCCTGGGTATCTGGAGAGCAGATGGGCCCTGCCGCACTCAGCACCTTGTGTCATTGTTAATTTCAAGATGAGACCAACCACTGAACTAATCTTACATCTAAGGGCAGAACGGCCTAAAATTTTATTTCAAAGGTTTCCAATTCTGTTATGAACATTATACTAATTATGATGAACCAATTCATATGAATGCTAAGAAGAAAACTTTAGCTAAATTGTGCCTGCTTCCGAGTCAAATCTGGAGTGTTCACTTGAGCAGCACGACCCTCAGCCATACTGGGGACGACGGGCCCAAGTTGGGCACAGTGCAGCTGGCCTATTTCTGTAGAACAGGTCTTGACCAGAGACTACTAAAGACAACACTGAAAGCAGGACACCTCTCCTCAGGAGCTAGAATGCAGAGACTCACAAAAGCAGGAAGCTTAGTTTCAGGGAATGGAAACAAAGCACCCAAAGTTGTCAAGGAAACAGTAAAATAAGGAATCTAGAAATGTGGCACAGAACAGATGGGGGCTGTAGCTGCGGTGTCTGAGCTCCATTAGCTGGGGCAGCACTTCGGGAATGGCTAGGAACCAACAGCTTCCAACTCTGCAGAGAGAAGCCCGCCGGAGTACCTTATTCCACTGCATTCCCAGGGTGTCCCTTCAGGCCCCAAGATCATCACCGAACAAAAGGTCCCTCTTACAGAGTTGAGAAACACAGGTAACTCTTATCATTTGCAATATCAGAATGCACTGCACCGAGGGATGGCTGGGTTTTACGTGGTGGTGTCCGTCTTCCTAGCCACGGCTCTGCTCAACCTGCTCACCTGCTTCCCGGGACAGCGTGGAGGTTAGGCAGGCAGCGTGGCCTCCAGGCCTGCAGCTCAGCAGTGCAGGACACCCAGTGCCCTGGGCCGGAAGCCGCGCAGCCCCCAGTGTAAGCAGTAATCCCCTGCTCTGGGTTTTGTCATGTTATAAAAAATGACATCTGTCCATTCTCAAGTCTTGCAGATCTGGTAAAGTACAAACACAAAGCTGTCATTCGAGCTAAAAGGCAAAACTCAGAAAACTTCATGTTTTCCTTTAGCAGAGCACACACAGATTTACAGAAGTTCCTGGTGTTTCTGTACGTTACTGAAGGGTTCTTTTCAATCAATCCCCAAAAGGATGTTGAAGGGCCACAGATGTAGCTCAGTGGTGCTACCTGCCTCCCAAGCACAAGGTCCTGAGTTTGATCCTTGGTACCAAAAAAAATAAAAAGGATGTTGGACTACTTTATCAAATAACTTTCTAAGAAGCAGGTCGACAGGAAAAGCATCTATCTTATATCTGTATAAGATAGAGGAAAGTGCACAAGAAACAAGCTCAGAAGGTGAGTCATCCGCATGCCTCTGGAGGATTTCAATTCACAACTTGCCCGGGTTCCGGTTACTGATTCTCCGAGGAGCTGGGAACCGTTTCAGTTTTTCCGATCCGAAAGCATCCCTGCTGGAAAGGGACTGCTAAGTGCACAAGGAAACCTGGGAACCAATGGGTGTGAAATGCAACATGGTTATTTACACTTTTGTGACTTCGTTGGAAATGTTAATGCTGTGTCCCTGTAACACAGACACAAGGACCGTTCCTCCCGGGGAGCGCGCACACACTCACACACGTGCGTACACACACACACACACACACACACACACACACACACACACACACGGAGGTTAAAACCTTTTTACCATTTGTTTTCTCAAAGCAGTTATCTTTTCCCAATCCTCTGGGGTTTGTGGAGTTCACGGAGATTCCCTCACCCGTATCATAAACCAGAGGTTCTCTCTGGGCAGTGTGGGTTCTACCCGGGGGACTTACTGTGGGGATGACAATAAATTGCAGCCCTCAAGAGCTACCTGAGAAGCACACGGATGACCTGGTACACAGCAACCAAACTACTAAGCAAACTGTATAAAAGTCGGCAGCTCTGAAGGGGATGATCACAGCTTACATTCTGTGGTCTCTTGCTGTTTGCAATACCATTTTACACACAGTAAAAGTGATTTTGGAAAAATGTAAATCCGAAACTCCACATCCCACTCTCACTGTTTTATTTTGTTTTAAATAACTGTGGTAATTTGAATTTCAGATTAATTTCTGCCATTCAGAATTATATTGAAAATATTTCCTAAATTTAACAATGATCACATGTAAAGATTGGGTTCTGATAAGCCTACAAATAATCAAAACGGTCAACTCTGAGATTCAAAACTCAGTAATATCTGGAAAAAGTTGTTATAAAGTATGACTTTGACAATAACATTGAGACTTATTTGTGAAATGAAACTTTTCTGAAACACTTAGGAATGAATACATGCTCTACTCTGCGTAATTACTAGTAGTGTCTGAAATCGGCCGAGAAAATTTCTGTAAAAAGAGCAGCAGTTCAGAAGCTGGATGTCAGGATTACATAATCTTAAAAAACAACAACTTAGTTTGCTGGCACTGGCTTGATATAAAATGGCCTTTAAAAAGTATTTTAAAATGTAAATTAAATACTGAATTCTGATGCTTCCTTTAACACAGGAACTGTCAAATGAATGGACGATCTTCTGTGAGGTATCTGTAGAGTTGTGTCTCTCTGTAAACAGCATTTTGGAAACATCTTCATCTGGAAATGACACAGACACGAACTGGCAGGCTGGAGCGACTGTTCTGAGACTGGTGTTTCACACAGACACAGCCATCTGGGCCCCACTCTCCTTAGGTGCGTTTATTGCTCTTGAGTCTGACTGTGGGCCACGTAAGGTGGCAGCCCTCAGACACATGGAATCAGGGACTGGAACTCTGACAGTTCATGCAAGTTCTGTTCACTTCCTGCCTGTAACTCTGAAGCTGAATAGTGCACTTATATATGCCAAAGGTGTTCAACAGCAGATGCTTTGCTTTTGACTGCACTTCCTCCCATTTAGATGAACTTCCAGGAACTGCAATGTCAAGGAAACTGTGTTACCATTCGCTATACTCAGTCACACACAGGTGAGTAGTGAGTAAGGTACAGGGAAAACAACCTTGATACACCCAAACTATCTTCCTCAGTCTGATTTCTAATCTTGCTGAGCTATTCAATTAGAAGTCACTTTCAACGCCCAGAAAGTGTTCTCATTATCAGTATTTCAATCTCTTCAGTCCACTTTCAGGTAGAGAAAGAGTATCAGACATTAATTACATAGCCTGTCATTAAAGATCTCATGCACTTTTAAAGATGGACCACATGTGTATTATTTTAATGAAAAATTAAAAGAATTAATTTGTGAAATGACTTCAATAGAAAGCATAGAAGTCTAGAAAATATCATGGTAAATAGATTTCATGCCTTTAATCTGAAGGTAGAGATCAACTTGCAATGTCCCATGACAAAGAGATAAAAAGAAATCATTTTTCTGATCTCAGTACTGACCTGCAATCTCCTTTCTGAACAGTCTCACCCTCCTTACACCTTATCGGCAGGAAACTCTGCCCCCTTCACCAGAGGCATAGGTCCGGCCTGCTCACCCAGGAGGCCCACTGCACTCCCAGCCACGTACTTAGCTGCATGTGAACTATGGCGGTGGATTTTCCTGACGTGAGAGACCAGATGTTCAAATCTTCCACCGAGTATACATCTTCTATCTTCATCAGAGCTTCTCTGATACGGTCTACGTTCAGATGGCTTGGTACACCTGTAAGTTCACAATATGTAACATCTAAGTTTACTTTGGAAGAAAATAACATTTTACATTACATTCAAAGAACACAAATGGCTTTGCCAAATTCAGTTTAAACAAATATTTTTAAAGATATTAGTTCTTAAAAAAAAATTAGTTCTTTAAGGTAAACTAATGCACACATTTTTACAAAAAATACTGTTAAGGGCAACCCACTTTCTGGTTCCCTTTCTTTCTCTCAATAAATTTTTCTACACTGAAAAAAACATACAATAAATATGTAACGTTAATATATACTCTAAAATATTCATTAAAAAATTCATTCCCTAAAATGTAATGCCAATCAAACCAGAAAAAAGTTAGATAGACCAAAAAAAAAAAAAAAAGACCCAAAGGAACATCTGATAATGATAATGCCAGTTTTGAAAACTTTTACTTTCATGCTTAGACTAGTATCAGTAAGGCAGGGGTGTCATAAATGCAATGAAGTCATAAGTTAAACAGGAATCAAGGAATGAAATGAAGCACTAGATTAAACTGTATTAAGAGTCAATCACATGGGCCGGGGATGTTGCTCAGTGGTGCAGTGTCTTCCTAGCAAGCAGAAGACCCAAGGTTCGATTCCCGGTACCAAAAGAAAAAAAGAGTCAATCACATGCCTGTAATTTCAGCACTCCGGAGGCTGAGGCAGGAGGACTGCTGCAAGTTTTAGGCCAGCCTGGGCTACACCTGAACTACCCAGTGTGAGACCCTGTCTCAAAAAATCAAGCCAGGCCCAGGGGTTTAGCTCAGTGGCACCTGCCTTGCAAGTACAAGGTCCTGAGTTCAATCACTGGTACCAAAAAAGAAAAAAATCAACTCAACAGCAGGGATGTAGCTCAGTGGTGCCACACCTGCCTGGCAAGTTCGAGGTCCTGAGTTTGACTCCTGGAACACTCCCCTCTTCTCCCCTCCCCAAATCAACCCAGGCTGTACTCTTATCGCAGCTCCACTTGTCTCAGCACCCGACTGGAACCAAGGTGGGCTCCCCCTCTGAATCTCAACTTCCTCTGGGTAAGAGACAGACTGTGCCGATCCGTATGTGATACACACACAGAGGCAGTGACAGCTTTTACCCAGAGTGTCCCCTAACTCTCAGTCTCTTAGGGAAGGAGTAACCTGCGGGGGTACCAGTGAAATCTTACCTTCTAATATTATAACTACTGTGTCCCAGATGATGCGGAATGTTGTGAAAGCCATAAGTAGTGAGAATATATATGTGCAGATGGGGTCTGCAATCTTGTATTCCGGCTAAAGGGTAACAGATCAAAGTTATGTGATTAAATAGTGACAGACATAAAACAGACTGTAAAGCAAAGCAAGGCATATGTCTCCTGTTCTTTGATTCTCCCTGGTAGACTGGAGAATACTTTTACATCTGGGATGGTGGAACAGAGAAACATCTTCACTCCCTTTTAGAACACGTAAATGACTTCCCTCATGGAATCTATTCCCTGAAGCTTGTTTGGTCTACTCTTCTCTGTGCTTTCTTTAAAATGTTCACCCAGCTCTTTCACAGAATGTGGGGCTGGGAGGGCTTTCAGCAGCCATCTGGCCTAAGCCCCTCATGTTAATGAGGGGACTCATGCTTGGAATCGGGGGACTTGCTCAAGGCCAAAGCATCATTGGTAGAGCCAAGAGGAGAACCCAGACCTCCACCCAGGGCACATCTCATGGCCCAGCAGGTCAGCGACACAGCTGACACCTGAGTTCTCCAGAGCAGTGCTCTCAAGGCCAGGTACAGGTGAGTCAGCTGGTGAGGAGACCCTGTGTGCTTAGTGCTTACAGAACTGTACTGCTGGTTGGGTGAGCTTACAGTGGAAAATGAACAGTACTGGTATTGGTATCCAGCTGCAGTTTCAACACTTAAATTAGATACATTTAAAGCTGGTACGTTACAAGGCCTGGTAGCAAAAGGCTGCAATACCTGCACTCTCACAAGGCTGAGGCAGGAGGAGCGCCATGAGATCAAGGCCAGCCTGGGCTACCCAGTGAGTTCAAGGTCAGCCTGGATTACAAAGAGAGACCCTGTCTCACAAAGAAAAACAAAAGGGCTGGGGATTTAGCTCAGTGGCACCTCCTCTGCCTCTCAAGGGCAAGGTCCTGAGTTTGATCCCTGGGACTGGAAAAAAAACAAAAAAAGAAAAAGAAAAAGACAATGAAAGATAAAGCTGGCTGGTGTGCAGCCCGGTACCTTGAATCGTATGATGTAGGCTGCGATGAGCACTCCGATGCTCTGCACCAGGTCCCCCAGGGCGTGCACGAAGGCGGCCCGAACCGCCAGGCTGTCATGCCCGGCCCGGGGCTCCCCAGGACTGGGGCCGGGAGAGCTGGAAGCCAGGGAGTGGGAGTGGAAGTGGGAGTGATGGCCAGACTGGTTCAGCAGAAGCCCCATTCTGTTAGGACAGAGGAAGACACTGATACCGTGCCTAGAATGAGTGATAAACAAGTGGCTAGTTGGACACTAGTGCGGTGACGTGGGACCCACTCAGTTACTCACTTAAATATCTGAGGACCTACATGTGTCAGGCACTGTTCAGGTGCTGGGTCAAACGAGGGAGCAGACAGACCCAGCCCGACGCCCACTGAGCTCTTATTCTAATAGGAAAGGCAGAGAAGCAAACAACAAGCCGGACGCACGGCCAGGTAACACAAAACACTCCAAAGAGACAATGTGTGGAAGGGAAGAGGGGGAGCGGCCTGAGAAGGGCCTCAGCCTCCACCTGAGCAGGAAGCACTGATAGCCAAAGGCACAAAGACGAACATGTGCTCTGCGTACTCGGGAAAGGCAGTGACTGCAGCTGGAGAGAGGGCGAGAGTGCGAGGGAGGACAGAAGCTGGGAAAGTATGCAGGGTTCTGCTTAAAAGGCTTCGGCAGGGGCTTCTCATTTATCCTGAGTATGAATGGAAGCCGCAGCAGGGCTGGGGCTGGGCTGTCCCCGCAGGCCAGTTTCATGGAACACGGAACGGGGAACGGGGACGCTCAGTTACAGCGGCGTAGCTGGCCTGGCTGCCGCAGCAGGGCAGAACAGCTTCAGAGCAGAGCGGGCGGCTTGCAGGGCCGAAACTGTTACTGTCCACCTTTGCAGAAAAAGGCTGCTGACCTCCAGGTGAAATGATTCAGTACACGATTAAGATTTGGGGGCTGGGATGCACTCAGTGGTGCCGCACCTGCCTGGCAAGCATAAAATCTGAGTTCGATCCCCGGTACTGAGAAAAAAAAAGATTTGGTAGCTTTTGGGGAAAAAGTAGTTCAAAACACCTAGCAAAAACAAACATTCTAAATATTAACAACAAATACTTTATCCTATTTAAATCCTCAACTCTTAGTCAAACTCCGTAGACAGTGGACCCTCGAGTTATGACTGGCCTGACATACAAACAACTTGAGTTATGACCGGAATTTTAGTTTTAACTTAGGAACAAAGTCTTGAGTTATGACCCGAATGCCAGCTGCGTGTGCTCCAGGTGGTCTCAGATCAGATTTAACCCTCACAGAGTTCTGGAAGGAGCATCACAGCATCCTTTCCGTGAGGGGTTCAGTGAGAAATCCTGGGCTAGGGTCTCTCTAAGGACACTGAGATCTGCCTGTGTATAGGAGAGAGACTTTGAAGGCTGTGCAGAGGAGCCTGAGCCTTTACTGACCAACTTGAGTTACAACCAGCCCTCAGGAAAAAATTGAGTTCGTAAGTCAAGGGTGCACTGTGCCTGAGCAAACTAAAGAGGAATTTATAATGTCTAGTTTTTAAATTAATATTTAAGAACATTAATACACATATTTAAAAAATATGAAAAGATCATTCCACAATGAAGGCAGGTGACAGGCTCTAAGTTCGCAGAACCTGAAAATATGGATGTGCTCCATCCAGCTTACATGAGGTTCACTGCAACTCCAACAGCTGCAGTGATGATCATGATATCTCCATTTATTTCATAGTTCATGTGGAGCGTTCTCTGCACAGCTTCATACAGGAGGAATGCCATCAGGATGTACACCAGCAGCACACTGATCATCGCCGACAGCACCTCTGGGGGAGAGCACAGACAAATGCATCTTCAGCACCAGGTATTATGCTGCACGCCAACTAGTGGTGTAGTTGGCTATTTCTGTTTCTCTTCCTCTAAGGAGGAGAAAGCACTGTGCCATTTTTGTCATAACCTTTTTCTTACATAAAAAGTGTTTAGCAACTTGAATGATCTGTATCCTTTACTAAATCACCCACCAATCCCCACCGTCCACTCATTCTCTCTGCAGTGTCCAATTATCCATGTGCACAAACCAATGCAAGATAAAGAATGACAAACTGGAAAACCACCTGTCAAATACGTGACCAGATTAATTTCCCAATATTAACAAGTAATAAAGTAAATAATTCATAAGAAAAACAGGTAGGGGACCCAATGATTTACCAGAAAAAGAAATGTCCAAGTTCTCAAAATCAATCATAATACAAAGAAATTAATTTCTTTTTATTTCCTACTAACTTGGCAAAAATTAAGAAGTGTGATAATACTGGATTAGCAAGGGTATACCAGTGCATGTATTAAATGCTTTTACATTTTTTGAAGCAAATCAAAAATTACAGGCACATATCCCTTGATCTGGCAATTGTCCGGGAATCTACTAGTAGGGATCCTCTGTGAGCATAGCTATCTTCAAGGTTTCTCACTGTGGCACTGTCCATAGCACAGCGTCACTGACAAAGAGACACGTTAAATGTCCACAGGATAGAGATGTAATGAATAAACTGTGATGTAATTTATGGTGGGGATGCCAGACAGCCATTCTGTTTTCGGGAATAAAGGAAAACAAAAATCAGGCAAATAACAACAAAGACAAGAAAGTATGCCATCTGGGGGATACTTGGGGAACCAGAACTTGAGGAACTCATTTTTCACTTTATTCTTTTTGGTAATTTTTGCAATGTTTTAATTTTACCATAAACACATATGTTGCCCTAGACTGAAGAAAAGCATTATTTTTAGGGCAAGCCAGGACTCAGTGTGCTCTGACCCAGGCTTTCTCTTCTAGCGGTGACACCAGTGCATCGACTGAGGGGAGGGGGCTGCTGTGTGCCAGCAAGTGACCAGAAACCATGGGACCCAGCCTGCTCCTGGGCCATGGAGTTGGACTGGTTTGCAGCTCAGCGGGACAGCATCTGGGGAAGTAGGGGTACTCATTCTGATAAGGAAGGATTGGACAGAACACTCATAAAACACGGTCCCGTGGGAAAACTGCTGGCCAGGAGGCAGGGATGACATCACACTATACATGCACTGGCCCCTTCAGAAATTTTTCTCATATGAATATAAAATAAAAATAATTCAACAACAGAATAGGGCAATGTGAACTGTGTTTTAAAATATTACTGCCAGATGTGGTAGTGCACTCCTGTAGTCCCAGCACTCATGCTCTCTGTGAGTTTGAGGCCAACCTGGGTTACACATCAAGACCTTGTCTCAAAAAACCAAAACCAAACAAAAAACATTATGAAGCTGGGCCTTGTGGCTCACAGCTGCCGCTGTAATCCCAGTTACTCCACAGGCAGAAACAGAAAGACCCCCTAGAGGCCAGTTTAGGTGATTCAGCAAAACTTAGTCTCAGAATAAAATCTAAGAAAGGGCTGGGGATGCAAAAGTGCTTGCCTAACATGCGCAAGGTGCAGGGTTCAACCCCTACTTCTGGGAAAACAAACAGTATGATATAATACAAGTGCTGAGACTCACAACAGGAGGAAAACACCTTTAAAGAAAATTGTTCCTTGGGCCGGGGGTGCAGCTCAGGGGCACTGTGTCTGCCTCACAAGGGCAAGGTCCTGATTCGATCCCCGGTATCGAAAAACCAAAAACCAAAAACCAAGAAAATTGTTCCTAGAGAAACCTGACATTACTCCTATTAAATGTTAAATGGTTTTGTTTTATTTCTGTTTTTTCAAGACAGAGTCTGGCTGTGATCCTCCTGCCTTTTCCTCCCGAGGGCTGGGTAAAAGGTTAAAATAATCTGGAAAACTGTTATCTACAATGACTCATTGTTCAAAGGTTCCAGGGAGTTCAAGTGTATTGGACTTTGATACATTTTCATTCCAATGTATAAATTACAATGAAGAAAAATTATACAGCAGTTATGTGATAGTTCACGTAACCAAAACTCCTAAAATCTGCACATCAGCAGAGCAGGTGTTGGAATAACCGTTCCTATTCCAGGTCATCACGGCACACTCACTCCTCATATATGAACCATATTTCCAAAGAGACAGAACGGACCCCTGAAACACACGAGGCTGTACACTGAGAACACGGCCCAGGCCACGAACCCAGCGGCAGTGTTGGGCAGAGGTGCACGCAGCCCGGACGCCACACTCACATGAGTGAGTTTGCAGACCCTGTTAGTCAGGGGCTGAGCGAGGGCAGGTGGTGAAAGGCCATCCAATAGGGTTAAGCTAAGTTAGTGGGTCACGGACTAAATCCCCCCCAAACAATAAGTAAATAGATTGAAAGAGAAGTCTTTTTTTTTCCATTAAGTTTATTGGTATATTTCAGGTATACAATACAGTTACATTCATCATTGGGATCTTGTACCTTTACATGATGTGTCTTGGTTCTTATTTTTCCCTTACCCCTGCACCCCTTCACCCCCTCTACCCTTCCCTATTTGCAAAGACTTCATTTCCACTTTTTCCTTTTCTCAGATTTTTTCTTTTCCCTTCTTTCCTTTCCCCTTCCCCACCCACTTCACCTTCCCCTTTGCCTCTCTTCTTCCTATTTCACAATATCAATTATACATTTTGATCCTTATTTACACTTTTAGTTTCTCACACTAGAGAAACTATTTGGTATTTACACATGTGTCCTATTTATTTCATTTAAGAGTATCGCCTCAATGTCCATCTACTTAGCTGTAAATGACTTGTTTCTCATTCTTTATGGCTGAGTAGTACTCCATTTTATAAAAAAAAACACATCTTCTTTATTCAGTCTCCAGTTGATGGGCACTTGGGCTGTTCCCAAGCTTTAGCTATTAAAAACCATGCTGCTATAAACATGGGTGGGACATATATCACATGGTATGATTCTTTTAATTCTTTTGGGAACACACCTGAAAGAGAAGCCTTAAGCTAAATAAAATAGAAAAAACCGGGTGTGGTGGTGCACACCTGTAATCCCAGCACCCAGGAGAATTGCTGTAAGTTCAAGGCTAGCCTGAACTACACAGTGAGATCTTGTCTCAAAACAACAAACAAAGGGGCCAGGGATTTAGCTCAGTGGTTTTGATGCCTGCTGCTCAAGTGCAAGGACCTGAGTTCGATCCCCGGTACCAAAAAAAAAAGTAAATAATAATAATTTTTTAAAAGACATGGAGTTTCTGGCCTTAACTGTGACTGCTTATGATAAAATACACATAAATACTATAAAGAAGAAATAATTTTTAAAAATGTGAGATCTCATGCGGTAGTGGTACTCTCCTTCTGGGGTGGGGGGGTGTGCTTAGTCACACAGCAAAGCCGAAACCAAAACTGTGGCTACCTTTGCTGTCAGAGTGCCAGCATATTGCGCCTGTGCTCACAACCAAGCAAGCGGCATGTGCGTCCACAATCGAGATGGGATTGTTGATGAAAATCTAAGACCGATAAATTCCTTCAAAACGCCACACAGTCAGAGTGACTGCGCTTGTCAGTCCTGGGCAGCCCCACTTCACTCTCCGGTGTCTTAATGTGGATGATGAGTTAGACACCTACCCTGAGTCCCGCATGGTTTGCATTTCAGATGAACAATGAGTGGCTCTCAGAGTAAACACAGCCCGGCCGCTCTCTGACACACTGGGCATCTTGTGTGTGCTGCATCTGGTTAAAGTAAACGGAAGTCCCAGAGCCTGAACAGAGCACTGCAGGGAGGCTTGGCCTCCCCAGGCCACTGGCCCTGCAGCCCCACCATTCCCGCAGTGGTCACCTGGAAATTCCTGCACTGGCCCATCAGAGCACTGCTACCAATACCCTCTTTCCAGCAATGAAGAAGGAATGTGCCTCAGTCTGGCTCCCTGGTTAGTTCTAATTACCTGTCAAAATGACTTCTATCCAGAGTACCAGTCAATGTGCAAGGGAAAACCCCTCAAAATTTAGATTTTGAGAGCCAAGATCTGTAATTAAGACACATAAGATATTATCTGGTTAAAAAAACGCTAATTGCAGTAATATTGTTTACTCTGATGCAACAAACAAAAACCCCTTTCCCTATAAATAAATTAAACTTTGGTGAAATACCATGAATAGGACTCATTAGTGTTAAAAATTGTCTTTCAGAGTATTTTGTTTTGTCTTTGGTACTGGGGATCGAACTCCCGGTCCCTGTGCTTGCACAGCAGGCGGCAAAACCACTGAGCTAAATCCCTGGCTCCCCTTTCACAGTATTTTTAACATGATGGGTTGCAGATAAAGACAGGTACCCCTCCCAACACCTGTGAAGGAAACTGTCCACCACCAGCCCGGTCCCACGTTCTGATCCTGTGGCTCTTGCTCTGGCTTAGCCTTGGTCACTCACAGTTCTCCAAGACAAAAGGGATTCTTAGCAGAGGGGTGGGTTCTCAGTTTCCTAAAGGAGACCCAGGCACTTGATGAGAGCCCCAGGTTTCTGTGACAGATCCTTTTCCCTTAGCTTTAGGTAAACCTGGGCAGTTACAGTTCAACCTAAATGGAAACTTAGCAAAACTTAAAATTCCTGAGCTCCATGAGGAAATGCTAGAAAACCTATTATCACAGCAGTTGTAGCATTTGGTGCTACTTCACACACACAAGCATCTGGCTGAAGTGTACACCGGAGGAAGGGCAAGATGAGCAAATTGGAGCCTCTGCTGTAAGACCACCCGGCTGGGCGGAGATGCAGCTCAGCCTAGAGCAGTTGCCCCATGAGGAAACCCCGGGTTCACACCCAGGACAGGGCTGGGGGACACTCGGGTCTTTTCTCTCAGCTGGAATTGAAACCAATATTTATGGTCCATGATCTAAGGACTAAAATACACCCTGAATTTCACACA